TTAGTACGTGTTTTAGGGACTGTAAGCTCAGTCAGTATCTGTCGTAATAAATGTTTCACCTAAGAACTAACAAATGATTTACCCTGTGGTTAGTATACCTTTCATACGATTGACAGAACGCGTAACTTGGTAGTAATAAAATTTATTAGGTAGATGGATAAAAGCATAGTTGCACCTGTCATGAAGTAAATAAAATTTTAATGCTTTTAAACTAAGCAGTACTGTACCGTTGCAAATATTGAATGACTTCTGTTACTACATTGGTGGGCGAAGTTCAGCAATAGCCTCCCAGGAGTGTGGACGCTCCAATGACCTTGAACGCATGCTAGTCGTTGGCTAACGGCATCTGTCATTATCATAGACGAAATATCAACGCTATTCACCAACTTAAGAGCGAATTCCACCCAGATAGGTTTTTAAGTACTGTTTGGACAACGTATTATTAGCTTGTTAGGGTTAGGATTAGGGTTGAGGTAAGTATTGAGGTTAGGGTTAGGATCAGGGTTATAACTACGGTTGGAATAAGGGTTATTATTAGCGTAAGGATTAAGGTTGGGTTTAGTGTTAGGGTCAGGATTAAGCTTATGGTTATCATTAGGGACAGATTTATAGTTGATGTCATTTATTTTAATTTGTTTTATTATCCACGTTTTCCTGGTAAGTAGTCATCTATCCTCTTGCTGGAAACCATGATAATTCAACCGAGGGTTTTTTTTAAAGACTGCAAGCTGGATGAGAGAGGAAAATGATTCACAGAAACAGTTTATCTGTAGTCATCTCGGTGAATACATGTACAGAAACTAGTCCAACCTAGCAACTGATACTCCTCCTACAACTTGGACGTATTTTTAAGCCATGTCAGAGAAAGGTAACCTGTTTAATGCGTTTTCAATGCATTTTCTTGTCAATATAAATCACGTTTTTGAGCAAACATTCCTCATTTTGATGACTGGTCAGCTGAAGGTCACTTGTGCGTTCGCACTCCTGGGACGCTATTGTTGAACTTTACCCATTAGTGCTGTCTTATACTACTAACTGATTGGCTGATATGAGTAGCCGGAAACCATTTGGCGTCCAACAATAATGCTTGCTAGCCAGGCTGAAGTGATCTAAACACTGGAGAGCCTTTTCAGATCAAGCTATGAATAGAGTACTCAGTCCAACTGGGCTGGCAAACACTACTGCTAGAAGTGAGCAAGTAGTATATATCACAACAACATTTTCGCCTGCCTTTTTTATATTTTAAATTTAATTTAAAACACAAACTTGGTAGAATATGGGTATCAAGAGATGAATTAATTACACGACAATAATAAAACAACAATATATGAGAAAAATAAGCAGAGGATAAATGAGGGACGTCATCCGAAAACCAAGGAAGCATATTTGTCAAGATCACTCAACATTCATTATTTTATAGTACTCTCAGAAAGGAAAGAAAGAAGGAGGTTGCAGCATGTTCTTCATTGATTGAGATTCTTGGCTGTATCTAATAACGCTTCAAGCCACCGATTCGAACTATCTTTCGGACTTCAACTAGGAAGCCATGATGCACCAGATGATAATAACTAACACACAAGTATCCTTTATCCCACGACACCATGTCACAGTCTGACCACCCATCTACTTTTTCCAACCAGTCCCAGGGATAGCTAACAGAGGTACCGGTACGAAAGCCTCTGGGATGACATTTGTAGCATATTTCCGAGACATCGATAAAATGTTTCGAGATGACGACGCATAAAGATGGTGATCTTTACTGAGATCAGACAGACGCTGCCGGGCCTCAGAAATAATCATACAACGTTGTCATCGAACGCAAACAGTTCTGTGGAGACAGCACTGATCAGATACGCAGAGTCACCGTACATCCTTAACTCGGAAAGGCCAGATTTTACAAGCGTAGAGAAAGATTGAGCCCATTGGAGCATTGTAAACCCGACTTTTGAAAGCCAGACCAGACTCCAAACGAATGCAAAGGTGGTCGGAATCGCCGTATGTCACCACAGCTTTCACTATACGGTTAGTTTCCTTGACTGACATCGACGTTCTGCAGCAGATCACATATTCTGATCTGACTATGTTTTGGTATCCAAAAGATACTATAGTGACTTTTCACCTTGAACTGAGTAGTTTGCAAATGATGAATATGGTTTAATTACCTTTCGTATATATATAAGCATTATAACATAAATATCAAAGAAAAAGCTACATTATCAAATATTTCCAAAATAATTTCGATAAAATTCTAAAGTTTCAGCATTTAATTTAGCACACAACTTCCCTGCTTCCTGCTAATGTTTAATGCCTGAATACTTTCGTGAGAAGTTTCATTATTATAGCAGGGAAAATTGTTGGTTCATATTTAGAGCATAAATAATTCACTTAAAGGCGATTTTTCTAGCATCCATGATGAAAATTATACTAAGGTTGTGAGTGATAGTATTTCTAAAAGCTAATTATCACTCTGTTTAGGATTTTGTGGAGTGTGTGCATTCGAAACACTCACTTCGAAGAAAAGTCTCTACATAGTAGTATCCTTCCACTCACAAACTATTATGCTTAAGTATTTAAAGAACCTGACTGCTGTATGATTAATGCACTACAAGAAGGAAAAAAAACACTACATGCATTTACATTAATAGTTCTCTACACGAACGTCTCATTACTACATTATCTCACCCACTTCTTTGTATTTCCCCTTTATAAAGTTTTAGGAAGTAAACAATTATTATTATTCTCCAAATTTAATCAAAATAAAAACAGTTTCTTCGTTGTTTTGATAAACAATTAATTTCATTATCTTGAAAAAAATATATATATTGATGAAGTTTAATGTAAAGAATATTGACTAACAAACACTACAAGAGTATAATAATAAGACTTTGTTTGATTTTTCGTAAAACCTAAACTGTAAACACTCATTTTTCATCCTTATTAGAATTTCATGAGTAATAGGTTTTAATGGAATTGGAATTGTTAAAAGTGGATTATTGTTTCTCTGTGCTGACCTAAAATTTCTCTACAAATGAAGACGTGAACTTAGATATTCACATGACATCAAAGTTTTTTTTTTACCATTCTTTTCATATGGGAAACAACAAGTTAGGAATCGGAGGGGACAAGAAGCAGACTGTCGGAGGAGGAAATGAAAGCCTGTGGGCAATCATGTAGACAGCTGTAGGGACTGCGGCGAAAAAGATGAAATAGAGATGTTCTGTTAGCCTTACATCTCACTCGAAACAGAAGGGTATAAGAATAAAGGAACTTTTTCCTCATATGCTGTTCAATATCCAGTCTGGAAGTAAACCAATCAGAATTGGCCATTAGATACACTGATCATGATTACAGACTAATTGACATATCCGTGAGGATTTAAGTGTTGGTTTATAGGGATTTGATTGGTGACAGGATTTCATCAAGACCTGACATCACTTAGAGAACCATTGGAAGACCAGCTGGGAGTACTGGACAGCCATCTGTTTCGTCCTAGTTTGGGGCTCTTCATCAGTGCGCACCCATCGACAAGGTTTGAACCTCAGGACCTTCTGGTTACAAGGCCAGGGAGCTCATAGACCATTAAGCCAATGAGACCCGATCCAATGGCCAGTCCATGAATACTAACTTCTGCCAATTCACGACATAGCGCGACCCCTATCCAATGTCTTCGGCGAGTATTTGTCCTCATACCCGACCTGTTGCACCCTACTGGTCACGACTTCTCACTAGAACCCCAGGCAACCACCTACCTGAATAAGGCTTACTAATGAAGAGTCCCAAACTAGGACGAAACAGCTGTCCAGTACTCCCTGCAGGTTTTCCAATGGTTCTCTAACCAATGTCAGCTCTTGATGAAATCCTATATCCGTGATGATTTTTCAAATTATACATAATTGTGTGAAATATACTTTCCAGCTCATGTCGCTGTGTATTCTCACTTAGGTGGTGTGAGCTTGGAGAAACAAGTAGCTATCGTATAATTTTGTTAGCGTGATCAAGCGGTATTCATGATCAGTGCATATGGGTTTAGCTCGGAGGCTCTATTTCAATCTCAAAAGTATTGCAATTATAACAGTTCTGTAAGCATCGCAGTTGCATTTATTAAGGATTGTACATGCGCAACAAGCATTTTTAGGCTTTTAGGAGTTTTTTCAGTGGGTTTAAACCTACTATGAATTGCGAATATAATTTTCTGTATACATAAATCCATGTTCACACATAAATAAAGCGCTTATAATCACGCAATTATTAACTTTTCGAGCAGAAATCAATTGAAATGCATTTACTGATGATAGAATATTGCGTAGTTGATTCAAGATATATACATATATATATATTTCACTTAAAAGCATCCCTTATAAATGTAAGCAACAAAAGAAGGTATGAGTGAAGAATACTTTTATCTACAAGAATAGACATTTGCGCCGTTTTATTTTATGGATGAAATTCAGCCTGAAAAAATGGGTACATATGAATCTCATGGGAATGTAAGACGAGACATTTTCTATGCCAGCATTTTATCTAGAATGTTTTAAACGCCAAACTCTCAAAAAAAACCAAATAGAAATAAAAGAATATGCATTATTCATCGCTGTAAGGCAATCGTCAAAATGAATCCTGTGGATAAAACTATATAGTATTGATTGATTGAGGCGTCGGTGGCACAGCGGTTAGGACGCTCACCGACCATACACATGGTCCGGGGTTCGATCCCCGGCCACAGACGCACTCCTTCACCTCCTTAGCAAGAAATAATCCTGGTAAAGAGGAAAGGTTGGGCATGAGGCTAGCAACCCCATCCTGTAAAAATAATCACCACTGCTACAGAATCTTCAGGTCACTAGCTTAAGGCCCTATGTTCCACTGGGAACGTGAAGGAAAAATTATTATTTATTATTTATTGATTGATTGATTGAGTAGCTGTATACCGCTCAAATCATGATTCATGAACTTTCAATACATAGGAAAATGAAAGCTATCATTCAATTACACAAACTTACGCTCCACGTTTTGTAAAATACATTACAGATGGATCTCTATAGACTGCAACGGTACGAAATTGATTCAACGGAATTTGTTTACAATGATTTTCCAGAGGATATTGTTCTTCATCGTTTGGTTTGAAGACAAACATATCTGTGGTTACTAATATGATTCCAGGGATTGAGCACTAAAGGAATAAAGGAGACGGTAAGATAAAGAAGAATATGAAATTAGAAGGGCAACCGTTGGTTACATCAGTCACTAGGGTCATTTTTTTCTCTCTCTCTCTCTGTTTCTAGAAATAACTTATCAAATTTCTAACTCTTTATTCCTTAATAATAATAATTTGCTTTATTCCAAAACAGTATTTGTGGTACAGAATCGAATTCTCAGCACTTTACTACAGTATTGCATACAGTTAGTACATTATAAATAAACAGAATTCTACATAGATGAAGGTAATCTCAGTTCATTATGGCAACAACATATTGGCATGTCGGTAGCAAAGTCGGTGTTAGAAAAGTAGATGCTAGCATATTTACTGGCGTAAGCGGTAACAAAAAGGTCGAGATATACTGAGTGTAAAAGAACGAAGAATGTTTCAATAGTTTGTAAGGAAGAGAGAAACAAAGCAGCATATAACAATACAAAAAAGAGAGAAAAGGAAAAGAAAGGAAGAAAAACGTTGTACCTATAAATGATACGAGTGGGAAAGACGAGATCCAGTTGTTCTACTGACTATTTAATAAGTTATAGGTATCACGCCTAATGCTTTCTTTATCGCACAGAACACGAGCTAAATAGGGTATGGTTGAGTTTTTGTACTTGCTAGTGCGAGCATATAGTTTCCTATATACGCTTCTGGTTCTGCCTGATGAGATACAAGGGGAGACTTTTGAATGAAGAGGGTGGTGTGAGTTAAACAGATAGAATGGATTTAGCTCATTTTCACATGAGTCCAAGTGCCTGTCGACCAGAACATCAACAAGCTGGTTAAGTGGCACGTTGCTTACGTAGCTGCTGACAACCTTTAACATCCTGCGCAATAAGGTATAGTCTCTCTTCAGTAGCCCAGGAAAAACTAAGGGGGAACAATAGAGAATATCAGGCAGATGTAAGAGTTAACGAATTGTAGGAGTAAGGGTTGGGTTATACCAGAATGTCTTAACTTCTTGATGTCGAAGGTAAGATGGAATATATTCTTAGAAATCACCAAGATATGAGACGACTAGGGAAGATCAACAGATAGAATGACGCCAAGATATTTAATTTCCGACTTGGTTTCTATTTCAGTGCCATCTATGTTGCACACCTCGTGAGTGCTAACTAGTTTGTTTAGGTCAGATTTTTGCCTAAAGGTGCCGTTGAGTACTCTACGTAATTTAAAACTTTTATTCTCCCTTCTAAAGTCACTTCTGAGTAATTATATCTTATTATTTCATCCCTACCTGACCTTCCAGATTATTACACATTGTAATTTTTAATTTGACCTTTAACTTGAAATATTTCTAGAATAGTATTGTTACCTGTCTTCTGTCCATTACACTTAGTAATTTTATTAATTTGCCCCAATGACCGTAAATAATTCTGGAACTTTCTCACGCATTTGATATAATTAATACACGAATGTACAGCCTGGTTGATGAATGCGTCGAAAAGAAAATTTTCTTCGCTGAATTGTTTTTTTCTTCTTTTCTTCATAACTGAATAGTTTCTTTTCTCATGGCCCAAGTGGTCTAGTGGATAACGCTTTGGCATTTGAAACTATGGCCACTGGGTTCGAGCCTCAGTGGGAACACCATCACTCACTGAGAAATGCAGGTACACCCAGCTGACGAGTCCCAAATAGTACGAAATGCGCATCCTGGATTCCACTGCTAGCCACCATCCACCAATTGTACACTAGTTTCTTTTATAATTAAAATTTATACAGACCACTTTAATTTGAATGTCATTACAAACAAGTGGAAGCAAATTTATACATATTTTTTTTTGAAAAATCCTTTTCGGCAACTTTTATACTCTAATCATTAAGTTAACATTTCCTTAAGTATGGAAAAAGCTGATTGAAAAGAATGACATTATTATATGATTGAAAACGAATGTATACATACTTATCTATAGAAGAAAACATATTTTTCCGTGAAGTGCTTTATGCTAAAAGTTGGAGAACTGATTAATTTGTGTTATGCTGGTTTGTGATTTCAAATCTTTAAATATTCCCATTTATAATATTAGAACAAGACATATATAAGCGAACAATATTTTTTTCAATTAGATCTTCTTCAGGCTTTACTCTAATTTACACAGACTTATATATATAAAATTTTAACCAATGACGGTGATTTTGTGGATCAAATAATAATCATAATCATAATATTAATAATGTAGTAAATGTTTTGAACGAAGTTAATAACGATGATTATAATAATAACAAAATATTGATAATAAGGCTTATATAGGTGATAAGAATAACAAAGTTAGTATATGCATATATGTAGACAATTCAATAAATAAATAAATTAGGTCAAATCAAATGGAACGATAATCAGAGTTTAAATAAATATCATAAAAGTACGAAGGAGATGGATGATAAGTAAGGGTGGGAGGGTTTTGAATAGAATTCACCTAAGCCAAGGAGAGACAAAGGTAGAACAAATTTCTTTTGTATACAAAAACTAGGATTGTTCTCTCGAATTGATTCCCATAGCTTCGGCTAAGTGTAAAAGACGGGTTGTGATTCCGTTCGAAAGACTCTATGGAATGCGGTAAATAACTTTGAAAGCACTATTTTGTGATTTGTTTAAAACATTCCAAGTTTAAATAAAGTTGTAGGTAGAACAGTTGGAAAGAATTGAATGCAGCAATGTATTTGTAGCAATGGATGTTTTCTACAGTTTTTGTACTAAGTCAAATTATTCAGTTGATATTCGATGGTTGGATGCAGTCTGCAGGAAAGCTTGCTTGACACAAGTTTCATGCTAGTTGGTATTCACCAGTCAGCAAGACGTATCTGCAACCTTGAAGGGACTCATGTCTTTTCTGAGATTCGAACCCGCGTCATCCAATGCTGCAGTCACAGACGTTATCACTGGGTTATTAGGGCTCGCGATTGACCTCCTGTAGAACTGTAGTGGATACTTTGATTTTTTTCCTTCACGTTCCCCAGTGGAACATAGGGCCTTAAGCTAGTGGCCTGAAGATTCTGTAGCAGTGGTCATTATTTTTAAAGGATGGGGTTGCTAGCCTCATGCCCAACCTTTCCTCTTTACCAGGATTATTTTGGGCTTAGCGAGGTGAAGGAGTGCGTCTGTGGCCGGGGATCGAACCCCGGACCATGTGTATGGTCGGCGAGCGTTCTAATCGCTGTGCCACAGACGAACGGATACTTTGATTGAACATTAGTAACTAGTGTGATGTGTGTCGTCCTCTCTTTGGTGCAGACTGAATTCTTTCAGTCACGTTGTCAATGTGGCCACCATTCTAGGCGGCTGGTCATCACATACCCCAGCATTTCACTATTGAAGGCAGGTGTCATTGGTTGATTCAGGAAATTATAACCAGATATTGGTGATTTAAGAAAAAAATTTAGATATCCGAGAATGTACTTGCTTTACTCTTCAGATAAATCTATTTTATTACAATATGAATGTAAAGTTTAATTAATATAAGTGTGGAATTTGAACATCATTTTAGAGTATAATTTCATATTAGATAAGTAAATTCGATGTAACAAGCAGTGATACAGTGTTAATAAGTAGATTACATTTCGAGTGCAATTTATTTTTCATAAGCACATCATTCTATTTGTACAACTTAATGACTTGTTTTGCACAGTCTTACTCTGTGCTATTTTTTATGGCAATTTTCTATATATTCACTATATGTATTACGTCACTTCGATTGCATGTGTTTGCTACTGATACATTGAACAAAAATTTGATGGATAACCTATTTCCACGTATCTGCACTACTTTTAAACACTTTCAACCTATACCATCCTATTTTGTGATTACATACAAGCGATTGAATTGCAATATGGTCGAGCTTTTCTCCAGATTATTTAACTTCTCATGGTCAATCGTTCCAGGTCAAGCTGAATAATTTAATTGACCTCCATCTGCTAGTTTGACCGATGTAATTGACCGAACAATCACTACAGGATCTATTGGGTCCTCAAACCAACAAAGTTGATCTCCGAGAGAGTTGGGTGGTTGGTTGAAATGCTACCCTGACTAATTCCAGTCTCATTGAGAATCCTACTTAAGGCTTGTGATGATCCTCCTTTATACAGCAGGCAGTACTAAAGAGGCTTTGAATTCCCTATTATTTATGTTATTTCCATCATTTTTATTACTTTTATTTTTCCTATGGGATATCATGCATACGTCTGCGGAGAATTGAAATAAACAACGAAGGGGGAGAAAAAAGCATATAAAGCTGTGTGACTTAACACTGATCAATTCAATATTCTGCCATGAAGGTGACATCTCAAAATATCCAATTTAGATATATCAAAAGGTTAGTTCTTTGAAACACTAACTAGTCATAGTACTATTCAGTATATTGGTAGTTATTCTGAAGAAAAACTCAATGCTTGAACTCTAGAGTTGAAGTTGACTGATACAGAGAGTCCAGAGATCCGCGTATTTTGTGCCTTTACAGTAGCAACAAGCGTATTAGTAACTTGACAGCAGACTAATCTGTATGCGAATAAGTGTACTGACTTATACACCGCAAGTATTATAACGTATTCAAGTATTGGTTTTGTAGGGATTTTGTTTGATTGCATAGAGGATTTCGTAATGAGCTGACATCAGCTGTCCAGTACTCCCAGCTAGTTTTCTAGTGGTTCTCTAACTGATGTCAGCTCATGATGAAATCCTCCATGCAATCAAACAAAATCCCTATACAACCAATACTTGGAAATTAATCTGATGCTAACTAGCGACTGGCCCTATTCAGGCAGTTCACCTGGGTTCTAGTGAGAAGCCGTGACCAGTAGGGTACAGCAGATTGAAGATGAGGTAGTAACTTGTCGAAGAGGACATTGCGAAATGGTCGCGCTATATTATAACATACACTTTACTTAAGTTCATAAATATATTTCGCAGATACTTTTTAATTTGTTCAAAAGTGCTTTAATAAACGAAGTCTAATTTTAGAATCTGTAAGCAGTCAGACGTTTATTTCTTCCAACTGTGACATATGCTAATGGAAATAAGTCATCACTGGTACACTTAATAGAAAACTCTGCTGTTAGAAGTACAATTAAAAATGATTCTTATTTTATAAACTGATTCAAATAAGAAAAGTTATTGAACAGAAATATCCTCTTTTTTCAGAGATTTATTTCTCTGTTTGTTCAACTTGATTGAACTGTGTGTTATAACGCTATAAATCAGCCACCACACTTTGGTATATTACAAATTTATAAACTACCATAATAAAGACACATTCACTTACTTGTAAATCCACAACAAATTTACAGTCGAATTTCAAGTACTGACATGCCATTGGGTCATTTTCTTCATCTGCATAATCCTTTAAGTGAGAAAAGAAAACAGTTGATTTAAAAGTATTTTGCCTATTTTAAGATTATGTAAGTAATGCAGAGGTTTCCAGCTGTTGACTCCGCTTTCAGCACTCTCTTTACTTGAATAAAATATATCTACAAACAAACCACTGTAAAAGAAAAAGTGGAATTGATTTTCATTTTTCATTCGACTGATTGTGGCGCGCGTTTTGAACCACTTGCTGCTCATTAGCTGAATATCTCTGATCTTTTAGAATGATAGTGTTCCCAGTGGGACTCAAAACGAGCACTCATTATTTCGGAATTCAAAGAGTCCTCCTCTAAACCATTCAACCACATGACCTGTCACTTGTGAAACAGCTATTATGTGTTGTCGTTTGAAACTTCCGATTTCTCGTTGGCCAAATTTACTGGATTGAGATGTTCGGCCACAGGTACCAGCTAATGTCGTGTTTTGATCAGCCGACCTGATCAAAATCTTTGGAATTATTATTTCGTCGTTGTAACAAATTATAAATATATATTTTCAATATGGCTGAACAATAATTAGGAAACTCAGTAACTAAAAACGATTGTCGAAAAATACTTCCTACAGATATTCACACTATAGCTAAAAGAATGAATGCGAAGTTCACTGTCACATGAGAAATCTGATGAACCAAAGTATTCCGTTTAATACATACATTATTATTTATTATTCAGATTATGCTTTCTGAATGGAACACAGGAATTCATCAGTATACCTACTTAACACCTTCTTCACTGGAATCGGTTTTACCGAACTACACAAGCTTTCACTTTCACTGCACGTGTTCTCACCCATAATAACAATAATAATAATTTTTGCTTTATTTCAAAAACAGTACTAATGATACAGCAAGGAATTTTCAGCATTCAGTACAATATTGCATCTAATTTACTCAAAACCGATAAAAAAAATAAACACTACATAATAATAATAACAAAACGTTGTTATAGCAGCTACGTAGGAGATTACAGTATGCGGAAAGGAGAAAAATATGCATAAAATATGAAGGTGTAGTAATAACAGTAATAACAACTAAAATAAAATACCAAAGTTATAATTAAACGATAGAAAGGAAGACACCATATAATTACAGAAAGATGAACGATGAAAGGGTCAATTCACTTTGTTAATAACATAGTACTCGGCGGTTCGAGCATATAACTTTTTATATTGACTTCTCGTCCCACATGATGAGATGCAAGGGGATAGTTGTGAATAAAGCGGATGCAGAGGGTCTGACAGTACGGCCTTTGCCCGATTTGTACAGGAATTTATGTATTTCTCGAATATAATATTGGCGAACCCACGCAGCGGTATACCACAAACCCTAATCACAGCATTTAATAGCCTTCGTAATATGATATAGTCTTTTTTGAGAAGCCCAGGAAAGATTAATGGAGAGCAATAGAGTACAATAGGTAAAATAAAAGAGTTTACAAACTGCAGAAGTAAAGGTTGGTTGATACATGATTGTCTTAAATTTTTAATGTAGAAGGTAAGACGAAACATTTTCTTCGAGATCGATAAGATGTGGGATGACCATGAAAAGTCAGAGGAAAGAACTAATCTGAGGTATTTAATACTTAACTTGGTTTCAATTTCAGTACCATCTATGCTACAGGCATCATGGGAACTAACTAGTTCATATATGTCACGTCGATGCCTGAAAGTAAAGTTAACTACCTACTGTGCGTCGGTGGCACAGAGGTTACGACTCTCGACGACCATGAACATGGTCCGAGATTCGATCCCCTGCCGACGCACACCTGATATCTATGGTCGGCCTGCAAACTTTGGGCTACCGATATCCATGCTAAAAATTCCATACTTGTACCAAAAATACGGTATGGAAACAAGCTGTAATCAAAATAAATAAAATAAATAAAATTTGGAAGGATTTAACACAAGACCATTTGACTTAGACCACTCGCTGATGTCCAACAGAACGCCATTAAGTTTGCAGCAGTCAGACTCGGAAGTGATAGGCAGTGATACAGTCAGATCAACCGCGAATTTGACGAAGTTAGTTTTGTTTAAATGAGGTAGGTCGTGTAAGAAGAAAGAAAACATAAAAGAAGAGAGGGCGGCACCTTGATGAACACCAGCTTTTGTAAGCGAGGCAGAAGAAGATTTGCCACTATATACAGTATACTGCATTCTATCAGAAAAATAGGAATGCAATCAACCTTAGCCTAGGATTCTGTTTGCGTCAAAGAAAGGTTATTTAATAAAAGGCCCCTACGTACAGAGTCAAAAGCAGATGTGTAGTCCAGGAAAGCGCCACGAACATATTTGGCACCTTATTATTATTATCTTCTTTAATTCCTAGAGGAACATAGGGCCTCAGCTGCGCACCTCCATTGCCTTCTGTTTTCTGCCAACTTTTTCACCCCGCTCCAAGTCTGCCCACATGCTTTCATCTCCTCTTCACATGACCTCATCCATGTCACCATCGCACTGACGACCAACTCGCCGCTTCCTCTTCGGGTTCCACTCGAGCAATGGCTTGTCTAGTGATGTCACTTGATAGCTCGTTTTCTCAGAGTATGGCCAGCCAATCCATCTCCATTTCTTCCTACCTATTTGTTTCACAATCGGTTCCTGGTTGGTTCGCTCATCGCCAGAGATCCCTATTGCTGATCTTTTCCGGCCGGTCATCTGATCTTGGGCAAGGTACTGAGCGAAGACAGCTGTTAATGAAAGTCTGAAGAATGTTTGATGTGCTCTTTATGACGCGCTGGTCAAGTCTCTGATCCGCATAGTAGTACTGACTTCACATTAGAGTTGAAAATCCGGATGTTATTTTTGATGATGAGTGCTGTTGACCTCCACACAGACTTGAGAGTAATGAAAGCTTGTCTTACTTTTCCGATTCTTGCTTTGATATCCTCATCAGTTCCGTCAACCTGCAGTTAAACGATGCTTCCCAGGTAGGTAGATAGGTGAGGGAGGTTGTTTCTTTCAGGTTCCTCCCATTTATGCTGGCTGATTGTTGTCTGTTGTTGTTGTTGCTGTTGTAAGTGTTGGCCAGGAATCTTCATCATCTCTGTTTTATCTATGTTCACGTGAAGTCCTATCTTCCATGCTTCTTCTGACAGCTTGTTGCGTTTCACTTGCACATCTTCCAGTTTGTGGGAAATCAGATATATATCATCGGCGAAGTCCAGATCCTCCAAAACTTTGGGTGAGTCCATTTTATGCCTGTTTCCTCATTGCCCACTGTTTGTCTCATTATCCAATCTACTTCAATCAGGAAGATCATTGACGTTATTAGACAGCCTTGCCTCACTCCCGTCCTCACTTCGAAAGCTTCCGTAAGTTTCCCGTTGTGGATTACTTGATATGCAGCATTGTCGTATAACTGTTGGATGAGATGTATAATTGTCGATGGGACCCTGTAGTAGCGAAGTAGTTACCAAATCACCTCTCGATAGACGCTGTCGAAGGCCTTTGCAAAGTCGATGAAGTTGAATGAGGTGGAGAGGTGACAGCCATTCCAAGCTTTGTTCAATGATGATCCGTAGAGTGGCGATTTGATCAATACATGACTTGTTTCTCCTGAATCCGGCCTGTTCCGATCGAAGTTTTGCATCTAGGGCCTGTTTGATTCTCTCCAGGATGGCACCTTAGTCTAAACAAAAAACAATATTATGATATAAGACAACCACAGCATCCAATATACTTCTACCATGTTTGCAAGCAAATTGTTTAGGATCATTAAAAGGTTTCAATGAAGGTTCAAGACGAAGTAAAAGCAGTTTTTCCATCAATTTTAAAAAAGGAGAAGTAATTGCAATAGGCCTCAAATTAATATCAATACCAGAAGATGGTTTTGGTATGGGGATAATTTTAATGTTTTTCGATGCAAAAGGTAGGACATTACTGTAAAAGGAAGCATTAAAAATGTTAGCAAGAGAGTAACATGAAATATCAGCACATGTCACCATAGGATGCCAAAGCCTTCGTTTTTCATCCGCTTTTCGCTTGGCTGTCTGGCGTGTGGTGCCACTTGAATGTTTCAACAGCATACATTCAATCTATCTAGATTCTTAACACTACACTACCATGATTCCTTGTTGCTCATCCTCTGCAGTCTGTCCATCTGTTCCTCAGTATATGGAAAGTGAAGCTGTTCATGAAAGCCTGCAGTGTTGTAGAAATGCATCTCGTGGTCCGTCAAGTCTTTGACTGTTTTTTGAGCTGAATACTGTCGATTTCTCGTCGGATTTCCTAACATCATAGTGCGTCATTAAGTAAAATGCAAACAAAATATATTCGCAGCGCTATTCTGTCTCATCTTGTAGATACTGAACACAAGATTGACGTTAACCATGCTTTCAGGGTCATTTACCGCATTTTCGCCTTAAGAGTTCGACTACTAAATATTGCTGAGGCTGTGGGGATCCATATTAACAAGCCTAATTTGTGCGTTCAAAAGAAGCTAGTTCAGACATTATCCTTACCTTGGCCGTCTAAGTTCTAATGACCCTCAATTCCATTGATCATACTTTGCAAATCGATATTATTTAAAAAACAATAATACTGTTATTATCTACTGCTCTAAAAGATTCTATGCATATAAACATGTGTATATATACATATATATGTTTATATATATATAGAATTGTAGAGGCAGAAAAGCAATTTATCGAAAAGGATATTCTTTGCTCGATTATTCTGTGTTTTATAGATATCTAAATGAATATTTTCGCTAGATTTCAGAGCAATCAACGCCTGATTTGCTTTCTCGATACCATAGAAAAATACCCAATAGTTAGTTCTTCTTTGCCTTGCCATAGTGGTTTAGTCTATGTTCTCTCAGAAAGAATAAAAATGTATGCCTATTTCGCGCCTGTTTTTGACTTCAATATATATTCACCACAATAAGGATATATTTTAACGTATATATGAAAGTTTTATGGTTGCAAATGCAGCGAAATTATTAGCTCCATGTATTATTCATGCTCTTTTTTAATGGCT